CACATTTCCCATGAACATTGAGTTAAATGTTTGAGGGATCCTTGCACTCCCTTTAATGGGATGACCTTGTGAGTATCTGAGGTTAATTGGCTGTGCTAAAGTCAGTTGCAAAGCTGCTCTTAGCATTTCAGTGGGATCAAATTCGTCCTTTGATTGCCAGAAATTCCTTTAGGTGCATTACTTCACCTTGTGCATCCTTTTAGATACGTAAACTGCTCTTAATATTTACTCTTGCTATAGTATGTCTTTTCTGAGGGCGTTAGTGGACTTCACAAAACATGAGATGTCGCAGCATGTCTTTGGCAGTACTAAGCACCATAGGTTTCATAATATAGCTGGGAAAACTGTGGCAAGGGCAAACCCATAAGCCCTACTAAGAATCACAAAAGAAAATATTGCCCTTGGGTCATTAGGAAATAGGAAATGTGGGCTGGATTAATGTCTCCAGTCCAGATAGTCCAGAGACTTGTCTTTTCCTCTGAAGTATGGGCTGTTGAGAAATGTGTTTTTTGGGGGCAATAGCCTAAAAATAAAGGAAAAGCTACACTGAAAATTACTAGTTGACTTCATCACACAGCATGAACATATCCATCTTTTATTTTAAAAAATTAATCTCATGTCTTATGTTTCTAAAACATTTTAATCCCTATCCTTTTATTGTCCCTTTGTGACAAACAGTAGTTGATCTGGTTTGTGGTGAACCATTTCTTAATGACAAAATTGATCCAAACAGTTGCTCCAAATTCATGATACCAGTACCTTTATGTAAACATTTTGGAGGCATAAAAATAACAAGGTCAATATTACTGTTCTGCAAGGCTACTGCTTTTGATTGAGTCTCTGAAAATTTTCTGATGGCATGGTTGCGAACTGTAAGGTAAGCTATTTTTTAAAAGTTTTTCTTAGTTGCTGGGAAAGATGTCTTGTGAATCTCAAAGCTGAAGACCTCAAGTGCAACTTAATATTTATAGAACTGATTGCACACAGGCAGCGGTGGCATAGATGTCCCTGTGCTCTGTCATTTTTGTGTGTCGCAAATGGTCTTGAGGCATAGTTAAAAGCAGAAAGGGCAGACTTGTTCGTGACCCTTCTGTGGCAGTGAGCAGAGACGTGTCATTTAACAAAGAGGGATGTTGATGTGCATGGTTGCCATTGGGAAGGAGCCTGCAGTTGCCCAGCCTGAACTGAAGACCATTTACAACTCACTGCCTGGTTCGGATTTACGTGAGAGACACATCAATCTATTCCTGAACTTGTCTCCATGTAGTTCGTCAGAAGACCATGTAGAAATACGTTACCCAAGGCGTATATATTTGCCTAAAAATCCACAAACTATACAGAAAATAAAAAGACTATGTTTATATGTAGAGGTTTTTATGTGGTTTGAGGCTGAAATTATTAGATCAAGGTTTTTAAAAGTGGCTGCCCAGCATTTTCAGAGTGCTGGGTCGCTGTGCTTCTGACCAACTTGGGTAGCAGGTGCTGTGTCCTTTTGGTGGATCAGGACATTTTGACCTTGTTTGGTCTAAGGAAAGCAGACAGCGTTATACGCTGTGCTTGGCTCTATCATACTGACACAGCTGAAACTGAATTCCCATGCTCTCTCTATATCTATGTATATCAGCAGGTGAATGCCAAGAGCTGCATTAACGCAGGTTGCGTTACCATGCTCACGGTTTGCATTCCCCTGCCAAGTTATTGTTTGGGAACCGTGCCTGATTCATGTGATAGGTGTTAATAGTCATCGTGAGACCATGCAGAAAAACTGAGTGGAGCAGCTCTTTAAGGTTCCAAAATGAAGGCAAGTGTTGTGAACTCTATGGCTTTATTTTTGTAGATCTCCGTCTCTCGGGGGGGGAGGACCCAGTATTTGGGCTTAGCCTTCCTGCAAGTATTAGACTGAGGTAGGAGACTTCACCGAGATGATTGTAGCTCTGCGTTCATCACTGGTGACTCAGCTGTAGTAGCATAACCTTATCTTGGCAAAAGATAGAACCAAAACAGAAGGACAACAGCATTAGGTGAAAAATGAAAAGACTTAATGAGAAATAGAAAACACAACACTATGAAGAGAAAAGAGAACTAAGAAGTTACGATAAATTTACGAAGAAGAATCTGAGTAAGTCAAGTTCTGTCAACCTTTTTATAATATTGAAGAAATAAAACAACTCTTGTAACAATGAAGAGCAGTAAAACTGTCCCTAGAATACATATTAGTGCAATTCATCAGTTGCTGCAAAATGCCGTTGAGAACAAGGACACAACGGGGTTCAGGGTGGCTCCAAGAGACACAAGAGGAGTTACTTGGACAACCAGGCTTCTGGTCTCTATAATCCAATCTTTTCCTTGCAGTGGTCAGCCAAGAAGGTGCAGTAAAAACCTCATTTTAATTTCACATTACAATGTTTTTTATGTTTGTTTTTTTTTTGTAGCGTGCACTTGGTTGGTTTTTTGCCTGTCAAGAAGGCTGTGCAGTTAACTGCTAAGTCAAGGAAAATACGCATAGAATACTGTCCTTAGCTATATCTGTTTTCCAGTGAGAGGTTATGCAAATTGAAATTTAGTGAACAGTGACCATGGTAGTAGTATTTCATAAGTTTGTGCCCAGTTGCATAGCAATTTGCTTTTTGTTGTTGTTTTTATCAGAAAATATTGTTCCATTTACCTTTCTCTAGGTAGCTATGTTTTTACAGTTCAGTACACTTGACCAACTGGTGTAATTGTCCTCTGTAAGTGGCTTTTTGTGCTACAAACATTGGCAATTTATGCGTTTCAGGTGCAAGATAGGCTTTCATCTAATGCCTGGAACTAAGTCATTGGATTTTCTTGTGTGGATCAACTGAAGTTGTTTATTGTGTCCATCTTTCACTCCTCTGCTTGAAGCGGCTAGGCTATGTGAATCAGTAACTGTAGAATATTAAACATTTCTGGATGACTCAAAATACAGAAAAGAAAAGCTCTAAAGAACTAATCACCTGGCCATTGTACCTCGTAAAAATTAAGGTTTTATTAGAAAATGAGTCCCTGTATCAGGGACTGATAGTAAACCATGCTAGACAGCAGCATTTTGATACCCACTCGTTGTTGCAGTCTCAACCTAAAGCCTCATCAGAGCCAGCTTTACTAAAATCTGTATGTTCAACAATTCACGAGTGCTGCTTTGGGAAGGCAAAGTGGGGTTTAGCCCCGCACACAGTCTGAGAAAGGTCTCTGCATCTGCCATTCCTCAGGTTTTGTCAGTGCCCATAGAGCTGCTCAGGGATTTTCAGCTGGTTGCATGTGTTAACAGTGTTGGCTTGTGAAGGCAGTTTGGCATTCCTTGTTTCAGACTTCCAGTGATCCACAAGCAAGCATCTCTTTCCTGGCTCGGTTAAAGTATATGTCATGCAGCTCGTACTGAAATTCACGCTCTGGTTTTTAAGGGGCTTTTTACTTGCGCGAAGATGGCAGTCACGTTGTCCAGGGCACACGTGGAGGACTGGGTAAGCTTTAGTCCTTCCTTAATCATTTGTGAACTGATCATCCCACAGCTCCGCACCGTTATTTAGAGTTACAGGGGACACTATGCGGTGTTGCAGTCTGTTTTTTCACGTTCCCTTGCACTTTACTTTCCTTTGGCAAGGAGCCAAGAGAGCAATTTTTAGAAATAATGGTAAAGGCTGATTGCCTTTATGGGTTTCTAGTTGCCTTTTGGCACCAAGCCTCGAGACCACAGGGAGCGATGCTTTCCTTGCCCGCGATCTCTCCAGGCTGTGTACACAGCATGGAAAACCAGCTGTTCCATGTGTGGCTTCCAGGATGGACCATTGGGTAAACTTAGAGGGAGTAAGCTCAGTTAAAACATCACGAAGGATTTCCCCAGTAATTTTCCTTTAACCTCAGCTTCATTCGAAGAGCACGGTTTAGTTGAACTGCCTAGTTATGTGGCTTCATTTATTTTTACTTTAAACTAGTTTAGCTTGGCTTATTTTTAAGAGCAGGGCATGCCAAAAAGTAAAATTCTAGCTTAATTGGAATTTAAGTGTCACCCACTGGGGATGAAAAAGAAACAGGTAGTCTTAGAGTTTGTCAGCACAGAAAAAGACTTGGTGGTATAGCAGCGTGGTTAAACTTGCTCCCTGAAAGCATAGCCTGTGCTAGAGAAGTGTTTCAAGCAATATGACTTAAACTGGTGTCCCTAATAATTAAAGTGTATTCAGAGGAGAAAGAACAGGGGTTGTGATGCAGCTTTATCTTTTTGAGGGTTTTGCTGGCACAGCTATGTACTTCTGAAGGTTGCGTTTAATTCTCTTAATTGACATGATGTTGGCACTACTTCTAAGTGTTTATTAGGGTGTGTGTCCCCCCAGATCAATTGTGTCCGCACATATAATTATTCAGGAATAGCTTCAAGTCTGGGCCAATTTTAGTATGAATTAAAGAGTATATGAACCATGAGTTAACTGGGAACAGGGCAAAGAAAACTCAGAATGAGCCATTGGAGCAGTTTTTAACTACATAACAGAATCGGTTAAATTGGTATATGGGACACAGGTACAACCTTCCTAGGCCAGGAGGTCTCGGAAGCTTTTCTCATGCACTGAGCCACTCCCAGACTTTCTTTAAATCTATTCTTTAAGCAGTATTCCCATATTTAACTAACTATGTGATCTAGTCCAGGTAAAATCCTTCATTTTAGGCTCTTAGTCAAGTATTTGAAATGGACTGAAACCCCAATGAAGAGTCTCTGTTTTCTTTGTTTTGAAAATCTAGGTACTCTTATAGTTAAAATATAAGTCCATGAGAGCAATACTGCTGTAAGTAGGAACGTTTAGGTGGCTTTACAGAATTGCTGTGAAACCACAGCGAGGCACAGTGTGATTCAGCGGATGAACACTGGTTCCTTCATCTTGTGCTGCCTGTGAATATTCAAGTGGTTGATGTTTTGTGTAAGCAAAGACATGCAGATGTATCTTGTCCTAACTACTGGCTGATTTTTGTCCTTTGCTCTTTCCATTTAGGTGACATTTTAGATGAGGCAACAAGGAAAGACCTTTTCACTGACACTTTCTGTAAGGTTTGCAGGGCAGTGCTGCAGTTTGAGCCTCAAAGGACATCACACTATCAGGTAGGCTGGAAGGGAGAATTTCTCCTAGCAAGCACTGGGGCTTTGGTGTGTTTGTTTATCTGGGGTTTCTATGTAGTTCTGTAAAAGACTTTTTATAGTGTGTTTCTCAAGGCTTATGCTAGGCTTAGACATTAGCCACACTTGAATGCTGTGAAAGATGTTGGTTCAGTGATAGTGAAGGGCAGTCACCTGCAAATTGCAGCATGATTTTAGAAGGAACTGGGCAGGTTCAGGCCATGCTGTATATGGGATTGAAGCAGATCTGCACCACGTGAGCCAGAACATATATATGGCATGGGGCAGTGCTAGCTATAGAGGATCGAGGTCGTGCCTCCTGACACTTCACCGAGCGATACAGATGTGCTGCTCTGTGCACCAGTGCCTGCTTGAGGCAGGTTGTATGAATCATGCTGAAGGCATTCTTGGAACAACTGTGTGCCTTTGAATGTTGCTGTAGACATGGGAAAGTGTGCTTTACTTTGAAACTTGATCTTGAGGGTGTGCAGGTTTGCAGGTACAGACATTTCTGTCTTTTTCTTCTTGCAAAAGTTAAAGTTTAAAATGTCAGTTGTTGTCGGGAGTCTTTCTTGCTATTCATATTATGAAGACTTGGGTCTTGAAAGGTGTTGTATTTCCTTACTTTGATTTAACTTAAGCACCAGTTGTACTGTCAGAACTTCAGAGTTCAGACCCTCGGTTTGATTTTCTGTTTCCCAGATCAAAATCCAGTTGAGGATAATAGCTGCAGTTCTAAAGTTACCTGACTTTACCATTACAAAATGAATTGATGGAAATAGCTGACTCTTCTCAGTTGTACTTGCATTGTCTGGCCAGGTATGATAGGTCCTCTATCTTTGATGATGTTATATCCTGCACGGCTCCTTGAAAGACATCTGAAAAGCATCAGGTCAGAGAAGATAAGTTACTTGTTTTGCTTTGTAGGTTACCACTGTATAGTGTGGCTTGTGGGTCAGTACATTACAAGTGCAAGACTTTGAAGGTTGTGGGTTCAGACAGCATCTAAGAATTAAAAAATAATTGCAACTGAGGTAATTGTACGTTAATGCTGTAATTTAGTTACCTGTACTATTGTGTCCTCGGTAGAAAGACATAGAAATCTCCACAGACTGACCCCAAGTGGGAGATTCTTTAACTCAGTTTCCAGGGAAACCTGTTTCTCTCTACCGACTGTATGAGAAGACTAGACTTTTTATTTAGGAAGGTAAGTTATGTCCGGCTGCCTGTTACTCTTCTGTGCCATGACACATGACAGCCTTGACGTCAAGTCCCCAGGCTTAGTGGTAAAGGAGCACAGCAGACTTGCTCTGTGGCATGGCTGCGTTCCTTTCCTTACCTATTTTAGAGTTCCTGTTTGTAAGGGGACATGCCAGGATTTTTGGTTCCCCAAAGAGGCGAGAGTAGATGACTCCAAGGGCTGCTCAAGGCAAAATGTTATGAGTAATGCTAAGTACTATATTACTGATTAAAGTATAGTGTTGTTACATGAGCTGGCATTTGTCTGCTTGTGGCTCTGCTTTACACAAATACAATTTGGCAAGTATTCAAAGCAGTTTTTGATGAATGAAGTCCCAGTCATCGGATATACCACTGTTTGGATCCTTGTTACTGACACAGGAATAATTCTAGTCTCTTCCCAGGGCAAAAAGCATGCTCAGAAAGTTCGTCTCTACATCCAAATGCATGGTGAGAAAGAAGAGAGGCAGGAGCATGGCAAACAGAAGAAAACGGATTGTAGCAGTTTTCAGGTGGCTGTTCCTCTTCAACACTAAATAGAATGTTTCCTTGTATACTTCAGTGAATGCTTGTAACTGAGCTTGCCCTTGTCTGGTTTCAGATGAATGGAAGTGGAGTAGTGGACAAAAACAAATACTGCAATCTCTGCAACATGATTTTGACTTCCCCAGTTGTTGCTTTGTCTCACTACTTGGGAAAGATCCATGCTAAAAAGCTGAAGCAATTATCAAGAGACCAAGCCCACGTGCCAGCAGAGAGCATGCAGCCTGTTTCTGGTAAGAACTAAATAATTTGCTTCGCATGTGTTTTTTCTGTCACTCTCTGAAACAAATACTGAGAAGTATCTTCCCACACTTGCCACCTCTCTGTGCCTTTCTATTCTGCCGAAGTTGCAGAGGTGTCTTGTGGTAACTCCTTCGATGAATAAACAAAGATACTACCCTGCGCAAATCTGAAGCCATGGAACCTTGCTTTTAAATTCCTTATCTTTCATTGACTGAAACTAAAGGCAAATATTTCTGATTTTTTTTTTTTCATGAAAGGTGTTTGTTGTTCTGAGAATTCACTGCAGTCCCAACAAGATGCTCCTCTGATAAATTAATATGATAAGAAATTAAAACACAATTAGTCCACAAGCAACACTTAACTGGTGTTAGTCCTGTACAAGTTGCTGAACTGTATTTAAAGATGGAGCATAGGGTATGTGCTCTGAATCACCCTCTGCAGGGTACATCTCTGTTCTTAAACTGTGTAAGGAGTGCCCACCCATCAAACACAGCTGATTTTTAGGTATCTAATGGTGGAGTTTCTGAAGATTTCAGGGTTATCTTCCTTATCAGCCTGTACTTTCATATCCTTGCAAGGATTAAAATATTTTTATCTCTTGCAAGTAGTTCAGCACCCAGCAGACTGTTCTCCTTTCCAGCTCTGTCGTTCTGCAGGCACCTGTTTTGCTCCGTGGTATTGTTTTAGCCTTTCCTTTGCTGTGCTGTCAGCAGATTTATCCTCTACTTCCATGTCTCCAGCTTTACAGGAACCATCAGCTGAGAAGCCCTTGCTGCCTTCAAATGCTGAAGAGTCTTTGTCATCCTCCAACACAAGGTTGAAGGTAAATGATCCGGACAAGTACTGCAAGCTCTGCTGTGCCCCCTTCAATAATCCACTTGTGGCCCAGCAGCATTATGTTGGTAAGAAACACAGAAGAAATGAAGCACGGAAAAAGATATTGGAGGAGCTGGGAGACAAAGCCGTCCCTGCAGAATCCGGCACAAAGGGTAAGCAGAATGTGAGCAGGTGTTACAGTCTGAGTGTAGCTCGAGTGCTCAGTTCTGATTTGTTCAAGGAACTGCCCTGATGTGTGCAAGGAAATGATAGTCTTCTCCTGTGTTACAGAACAAGTTCATCTAGAACAAGTTCATAAGAACGAGACCTTAGAGCAGCCTCCCAGTACCTAAAGGGGGCCTACAAGAAAGCTGGGGACGGACTTTTTACAAGGGCATGGAGTGATAGGACAAGGGGCAATGGCTTTAAACTGGAAGAGGGAAGATTTAGATGACACATTAGGAAGAAATTCTTCGCTGTGAGGGTGGTGAGGCAGTGCAACAGGTTGCCCAGAGAAGCTGTGGATGCCCCATCCCTGGAAGTGTTTAAGGCCAGGTTGGATGGGGCTTTGAGCAACCTGGTCTAGTGGAAGGTGTCCCTGCACATGTCAGGGGGATTGGAACTAGATGGTCTTTAAGGTCCCTTCCTTTCCAACCCAAACCATTCTATGATTCTGTGATTTTATGATTTCTTCCTTTCTGTTTGGTTTATGAACTGCTAAAGTTCTGTCTCTGACAGCTGTAGGTTGGAAAATATTTTTTTATTGACTTGGAGACCCAAATCCAGTCCTCACCGTGTTCTGCCGTCGAATTCGAAGGATCATAGAAAATAGCTGGGTCCCTTAAATTCAAGGCCAGGATCAGTTGTATCTCTGTCATTCTTAGTGTGTTCATCCACTTCGTTCTTAGAAACCGTCTGTGCTGGAAATTCCACAGCCTCCATGAGGAAGATCTCCCAGGACTTCTTGGATCTTTACCTTCTCCTGACATTGACTCAGCGCTCTCGGATCACAATGTACTTCTTCACTGTGCACAGAACAAGAAGCAGACACAAGAATCATTTGTTTCCTTTTTGTCGCATTCTTTAAATAATTGAAAACTGGTGTCATGTCTTCCCTTAATCTTTTATTTATGAAACTGGTTGTCACAATTATTTCAGTCTTTCCACATGAGGACATTAGTTTCCTAGACAGTCATTGTTCTCTAACCTCCCGTCAGGAGTATCTGCAGCTCAAGCACTGTGTGCAAAGCCAAGACCCTGTTGCTGTGCACCTTCCATTAATTTTGAGGTGGCATCATCTGGTCCTGTGCAAAAGAACTGCCAGTCCTTTCTTTCATAAGGAATTCAAAATCCTACCTGGTCGTCAAAAGTCATTGTTAGTATAAAACAGCTCTCATTAAGTCATGCAATAGTTTAAACAAAATAATCCATTTTGATGCCAAGCAATAGCCCATTGGAATTAATGCTTCATCCATTAGCAAAATGCAGCTCTTGGATTTGCGTGGGGGAAGAAGGTTACTCTCTGGTTTCCGAATACTTAGGTCTATGGATGACACAGCTTGTAGGAGAGGAGAAAATGACAACCTAGAAATCACAAGGTTTTTCCTCATGTGACCTTACTTTATATTTGCCTGAGGGTCTGTGTACCATGTTCATAATGTACTGTATTGACAATTCCCTCAGCATCTGTGCAGGGTTGAACCAGTGCTGCATGAACATTTGAGCAGGTGATGTTTAAACTGATCTTATTTTAATTAAATCTGGACTGACTGGATTGGTATTATAGGTGCTCGCTTTGGGTCAGGTGTTTACAATAGTACTTAATTTTTCAGTACAGTTCATTCTCATCAGCACTTGACAACAGTTTACTGGATTTGTCTTGAATCACTCTAGTCATCAGAAGTACTCTTTGTTCATGTTTAAATCATGGTTATGCTGCAGCTGTACACCTTACCAACTCCCTTCATAAATATTGTTCCAGTGTAAAATTGCAGCAGAGACTTTCTGTCTATAATTGCTGTTTATGTTGTCATGTTAGGACTCTTGCATAGGATGGGACTGTGATGTTCTTTGAGTTTTGCCTTTCATTTGCAGTCTCTCTAACCTACAGGTTCCTTCTTTTCAGCAGTTGGAGTTGGATATTACATGTGCCCCGTATGTAATGTCACTCTTACTTCTATAGAAACGTACCAGTCCCACGTGCAAGGAAATAAGCACCGGAATAAGTAAGTCAGTAAGTCTTCTGTTACTATTTGTCTGTAGTTTGTACTCTCAAACTTTTTCATTAGCCCTATTGTCCACTGTTAAGTGACTTTGACTCATTTATGGGTTTTTTTCTTTTGGTTTGGTTTAATGGTTTTAAGGGGCACTGTCCATTTAAAACATCCTGCTTGTGACTGAAATTCAGTCTTTGACTTCCTGCAGTTGCATCTTCAATGGCAACTCACAGAAAAGGTCCTGAAACCTGTACAGTTTTCCCACTTATTTTGCTATCTGGGGATAGCAGCACCTATTTTGGTACAGCATCTTCAGTGCTTAGTCTACCAGGAAATTACCTGAACTTAAAGATTCCTATTGACGGGCCAAAGTCCTTAATCCTGAAAAGTGCCAAGTCTCCATCAGTTGTGTTGCTTTTGGGATTCATCAACATGCGATAGCTCTTGTACTTTCCCTTTTACCCAGAAGAGGGCTTGTAGACCATGTTAATTGCAGAATGGATATTGCGGTGGTTTAGGACGTACTCTTCAGAGATTGCTGTGCAAGTGGGCTAGATATCAAAACTGCTTACATGTTAAGCGTTTTGATGAGACATGTTGAAGTGAAGGCGCAATAATGATATAACCACAAGAGACTGATGTAGAACTGATATGATTGTAAATGTTTGTTTAGTGAACAGAACGAGAGTCCTCAAAAACAGGAGTGTAGGAAACTGCTATAGGCCTATCTACAGTTTAACAAAATGGATGTATAAAGCTGGTGAATTAAAGCAGAACAAGATACATTTAAGAGATGGGTCTTTAGAGCTACCCTTCCCACAGGGGATATCTTTTTCATCCAGCCACTTTATCTTCCAGCCTGAGGGAAGGGAGAGTAGAATATAAACTGATAGGTAGTTTTGTCTTGGGTGCGCATTTATCTTGTTTGGGATTTTTAGCAATCCAGGTTGGTTGTTTCTGTTCTGTTTGTTTCTGCTGTGGAGTCACATAGTTTGCCTGAAATTACTGTACTGCAACTGTTCAATAGAATGAATCTCATAAAGAAATTAGTAAATTTTATTACTTGACAGTCAGTATATAATGTAATTGCTTCTTAGCTGCAGCTAATTGGAGATTAGTTAGTAAGAGAGAATCTTAAATTTTCTTTTTAAACAGTAGTTTTAAAAATGTATGCAGTCATTTGAAAAGCATCTTATTCTTGCAGCATCCTAGGTCACAAGAAACTCATTTGATCTTCATGAACTTATTCTGGATTTTCAGTTTTCACAAAGAGTAGAATCTGTGCCCTCTAACGTCAGCTTAACAGTTATGATCTTGTGTAACAGGGTCCATGTAGTTACACAGAACAACACACTTGGAATATGTTCTTTCTCTAACTCTGGAAATACGACTCTTTTTTTTTTTTTAACTCAACAGATGCTGAGCAAATTGGTCAGTACTAACTAAGGCTTTCTGTCCAATTTATGCAGAGAAACAGCACTCGTCAATCTCATGAAGAAATCGGAGAAACCGCATGACTCCTTTCAAGATGAATTAACAGATTCCACTAAAGTTCAGAAAGCTAGAGGTCTAGAACCAAGAAGGTATTTAGGAAAAGCAGAAGAGGAAGAGTTTCAAGATAAAGACATTGAAGGAGGAAGTGACCTTGGTGAGGTTATATCTTCAAACTTTAAGTGTGAACAAGGCCAGCATTCCAGCCTTTTCTCAGAAACCCAGTCACCTACAAATACTGGGGAAAACAGATCGCCAAGCTGGCCATCAGCTCATCAGCATGCACTAGAAAATACACTTAATTGTCACTATAACAGGGGATACTGTAAAGAAGAGCAAGAAGAGCATGCATCTGAGGTGATCGGTGTCAGAGACAAGAGCTTCAGCCTGTCAGTTGCAGAATCTAAAGACTGCTACAAACTTGCTGAAACTTCTACCAGCTCCTACGGAAAAGAACAGAAATTTCAGATAAAACATTTTGAGGAGGAAAAATACATCAGTGAAGAACTGAAGTACAAGAAAGAAGCTACAAAGCGGAAAAGAAAGAAAAATAGGGAAGGTGCAGATTTTGGAAAAGAAAGTGAGAAACAAAAGAGAATTAAATTTGAGATAGACTTTGTAAATGAGAAGAAATCAAGACCTTATAAAGCCAAAAAAGTTAAAGAAAACCCTGCTGAGAAAGAGAGCAAAAAGCACAAAATGGATAAAAAGAAGCCACAGACAGATGGCAAAAGAGAAGAGGAGCTACTTTGGGATGAATCTGTCTTGGGATATTGATAAAGATTTTGCTTGGCTTTAAGAAGTTAAATCTGTTTGTATTCTCACTTAACCATTTTGTACTATACTATGACTTCTTCGTTTTTTTAAAAGCAAAGTTTTGTTCCAATCCAGAAGTGAGAAAAAAACCTGTCTTCTGAAATTTTTGGGCAGTAGATGGACATCAGTTTTTAATTGTCTTACACATACAGCAGCCATTGCAGTGGTGCAAGTTTGAAAGTCTGTAATCTCTTCTGGAATAGACCACAAATAAGAGTCGTTAGCTTAGAGAATACTGTTGGAATTTCACCAAAATGTATAACTTCTTTCTAATATTAATGGTGCCTACTGTTGAGGCTTTTATTATTCTTCTAGAAAAGTACATAAACACTCCAATGTTCCCGGCCATGTCTGTAACCATTTCTCTGGCAGATTTAAAAGGAGAATGTAAAGGGTTTTTGATTCCAGATCTTACTTGCCATTGGGGTGGTTTTGTTTTTTGGTTTGGCTTGGTTTTTTGTCACCCAGTTCTGAGTGGAAAATGAGTCTATTAAACATGCAAATGGTTGTCAGATATACATTGTCTAGTAGATTTTTCTCATTGTAATCCTGATTTTTATTTTAATTTAGGAAATACAGAAAAGGTGCAATATGCAAAATTAATCGCTAACATGAGGCTACGTTCTGCTTCCTTCACTTAAAGTGATGTCCAGAAGGAATGTTAGAATGAAGCTAGGTTTGTGATCCAGACAATACCCTGAAAAATCAGTAACAGCTTTCTATTTCCACTTTAATGTCGTGTCACCTGAGCTTCATTCACAATATGGATGTACATTATTGGGGCATGAGCACTGATGTCCTATGTATGTGCAATTAATTGAGAAACTCAGATGATGGCGTTCAAGCCCTTGTGTTGCTCCTAGGACTCTCAGATGAGACCTTCAGTATGCCATGGACGCTGGAAACGCATCGGTCTCTACAGGGCCTGGGGCAGGCAGGCTGCCCAAGAGAAAGGGGAGAATTGCATTGTCTGCCTGCACTGTGCAGAGCTGAGGTTGTGTAGAGGATCTGAAGCCTGTGTGATGTCTTACTGAAAGCTGCTGGACTGAGTAAAACAATTAAGTTCTGAAAAGTGAACATTTAAAAGCAGTTTCATAAGACACCGTTTAGTATCTCTCTTATTGCCTCCAGGTTGCAAGAAAGCTTTTTCTGAGCCTTGATGTGGGATCTGAAAGCCATCACACTGTTGGTTTGCACCGCTCAGCCTGCGCTTTCCACTGGCTTAGTCTGTAGAGGCACCTGTGCTGAGCTGCTGTAGATCTGCTCTCAGTAGATCTGCCCAACTGAAACTTTCTGTTGTGGGTTGTTGTGGTGTGGGATGGAGCGGAGACCAGGGTCCTCAAGCCTTGAATTCTGACTGATTTGTCTTCGGTTTAGTTTTGCAAGTATAATAAGTAGGCTGACAAGCCCTGAAAATAATGTAGTCTGCTTTTACTTTTTAAGCATTTGTGTTTTGTGGTTGATTGCAATCTTGGAGTTAGATTTTTTCCTGCTGTTGATAAAGTTATAAATCTGAGTAGTTAACATCTGAGCTGTCAAGTATCTTAGTCCATCCTCTAACAGACAAGCTGTACTAGATACATGTACAACTAAACAAAGTTGAGCAGGAACATGTAGGTGCCAATAACAATTTGTTGGTCAGGAGCCTTGGGAACCTGAACTCGGAGGTCTGTGGGGATTCAGCTTTAAGTTCAAAGTGTACATAGGGTCCTTGTTGTGGTCCCCTTTCCTAATCTCTCCTGGTCTTGAGGCTGATAATGCCTCTGCTTTCTTCAGTGGCTCTTCTTCCTTGCTCAGGAGTTACGTGCCTTTCTGTATCTTTCCAAGGATTCTCCTTGGCTTTCCTTAGCCCGTGCTCATCTGATGAGGGAGTCTCAAGTCACACATTAATAACTGCTTTTCTTATTATTTACTTGGGCAGAGAGTGGGTTCAATCTTAATGTACTTATTCTAACTGTTGATGACAGTTGTGAGCTGTTGTAAGCTGCCAGCTGCAGGCTGCTTGTGTTGTCCTACAGTGTAACTGGGGAGGTTTTCAAGCTCTCTCTCCTATGTATATGCTCTTTACCGTGAGAAGAACATGGGCAACACTGCAGCTTGTCTCCCATGTGAGACAAATAGACTTTCTCCTTCTCTCAGGACACCTTGTTTAGCAAACCAGGCATTGTAAGATCTCTCAGATATTTTTGCCACTCCATCAAATAGTGCTGTACAAATATGGCCAGCATCTTTCACAGTTATTAGTAGGGAACTCTTGCTCCATATGGTCACGTACACCTCCTTTCCATAGGAAGTCAGTCTAAGAGAGCAATTAGACCTCCAGCAGACAGAAGGACCGCGATGTAGTACTTCACTTGTAAACAAGGAACAGACTAATTGAAGGAAAATAAGTGCCAATTTACTTGCTTTTGAAATAAGAGTTGCACTTTTGGAAGTCTGGAGATTAACAGCTCTGAAAATATGGTAAAAGCATGAGTTGGCAGAACAAGGAGATATTTTTGCTTTTTTTGGTGATCATTCCCAAATCTATACTTGAACTCTGTACCCTCCTTGCCCACCCATTGAAAAGTGGTTGCACAAACTATGTAGAATAGCTCTAAACAAAGTTTCTTGGTATCACACGTGAGAGATAAGATCCCAAAAGAAGTGTTCTTGCCACATTTTGATTAAAAAATGATTTATCTATGATGTAAATGCTGTGAATGGGACATAGCAGATTCTCATCTAGCAGAAGTGATTTACAGCTCTAATTTAGGTAAGTGATACCCAATTTTCTAAGGTCATAAATAATGATTATTCATGTGTTTCCTGATTGCTTTGTTCTTAGCCTTTCACATTTGTGCCAATAGTTATCTACAAGCTAGACATTTTAAAATACCTGGCACCAAGATTGATGACTTTATTTACCTTTTACTGTAAATACATCTTTTCACTTCTTAGTAGCAAAGGAATTCACACTGTCTGTAATGAAAGCTAATTCTGCTCATCATGTAGTGATAGGACAAGAGGCAATGGCTTTAAACTAGAAGAGGGAAGATTTAGACGAGATATTAGGAAGAAATTCTTCACGGTGACGGTGGTGAGGCACTGGCACAGGTTGCCCAGAGAAGCTGAGGATACACCATCCCTGGAAGTGTCCAAGGCCAGGCTGGATGGGGCTTTGAGCAACCTGGTCTGGTGGAAGGTGTCCCTGCCCATGGCCGGGGGGTTGGAACTGGATGGTCTTTAAGGTCCCTTCCAAACCAACCCTTTCATGATTGTGATCTATTCCTTCCATTAAAACTACCAAAGCATTACAGTTGTGATTTGAGAAACAAATCAAGTCACAGATCTTTGTCACATCTGAGCAGAAAGACATGCAGATCTGCCTTGGAAACCCCTTGGAGTCAATGGTGTTTTATGCAGGTACGACGGTTCATCTATTAAGGCCCAACAGCACTACATTTGATCTGTCTCTTTCAGTAAACTTGTGTGCTGCTTGGCTTTATGAAAGAACTGTTGTGTATCAAAAAGGTAAATTAAAACTGTGTACTTGTAGCAGAGCACAAAACCAAGGTTAAAACTACTGTTTAAAACTAAGCTTAAAGGGTCCTGCATTTCAATTTTGGTTCCATCCCTGGTTCACCAGGTCACTCGGATCAAGTACTTAATTTCTCCAAGGCCTCTTTTTTCATCTATAAATGATGCAGAAGGAGACTCTGGCAGATTTATCCTGCCCGTGCTGTGCCCGTGAAGCACACTGCTACTGCCAGTTTCCCCTCCTTTCCCCTGAAGGTTGCCATCCCTGCGACGTCCTTGGGTCCGTGCATCTGCTATTCTCATTTACAGGCAAACAGTTCAGCTTAAACTCTCAGTAAGGGCAGCTGACATTAGAGGGAGGCAAGACCACCTTTCTATTGGAGCAGGAATAACAAGAAATGCCAGAAAGCATTGGAGTTGCTTGTTCAATGATCAGCCTAGATACTCACTCTGAAAGCAGCTGTCACATTCAGTGTCCTGTGAAGAGTGGCATGAATGTGCAAAGTATTGCACTTTTTAGTAGTTTTTATGCCTTTTTATACTTTGTTTTCATGACTGGCTGCAGTATGTGAAAAATTTGTAGTGAGATCTTAGTGTGAGATCTGCCTGAAAAAAGGCCAGAACTGGAACAGGATGTCTCTTTCTGCGTCCGATGAGGTGAGCAAAAAGTTGTTTTCATGGTAGAAGGTTCTTGTTTGAAATCTTGCGGGGGAGAAAAAGGAGAACCGCTGAAGTCACCTTGCATGCCCCAAACTCAGGCTGTGGTTTCGGCGAGGCACACAGGGAACGTTAACACCTGGCAAGTTAACCCTACCCTTGGCCTATGAGACTTATCCTTGTCATAGCTAACCTACTAATTTGTCCAAGCATATTTCTATAAAGATTGAGAGGCATTCAGCTGAAATCTCTGTAAATCACTTGAATGCAACGCCTTGAGCTGCATCTCAAATTTACCATGTATCTGTGGGACCAGATTACAGTGTAAAACGGTTGTTTGAGCTAGTTAGAGGACTATTACAGTTTAATTAAATTAAGGGATTTTATTTTTTTCCAGCATAGAGCTCTTGGCCAGCACTGCCATCTGACAGCACAGAAGCTGACAGGGTGCTTGCCAGAACACCAAGGTGAAAGCAACAGGTGAGGACTGGGAGGTTTGGATTCTCTTTCCAACCTTTCCACAAGCTGCTTCTGTGATTACAACTTGCCAGGAACCGTGATGCCAGATGAGCTCTTCCAGCTGCAGCTTTTTTAACCTTAATGTGTTACAGCTGCTGGTTCTTCTTCACATCCGCTGGTGGAAATGACCTGAGGGAGGAGGTTACAGCCCTGCCAGATCTGCTGATGTCTTTCCAGCTGTACCTGTTTCCTATCCTGCCTACATTTTCAGTGAGGTGGTGAGCAGCTAGGCATAGTATCTTTTTAACCCTGACCGGGTGTAGCAG